GGGGGTGTGGATAGGAGTCAGAACAGTCAGGGGACAGGTAGGGAGTGGGGTCCTAGGGGGGCAGTTAGGGTGGGGGGTCTCAGGAGGGGGTAGTCGGGGACAAGGATAAGGGAGGCTTAGATAGGGGGTGGGGTCCCCGGGGGTGGTTGGGGCAGGGGTCTCAGGAGGGGGCAATCAGGGGACAAGGAGCAGGGGGGGTTGATGGGTTGGGGGTTCTGTGGGGGGCAGTAAGGGGGCAGGAAGTGGGAGGGAGTGGCTAGGGGGCGGGGCTACCCCCCGGAGCGTCCTCTTTTTTGAAAGTTCAAATATGGTAACCCTACTCCTCTCTCCTGCTCCCATGTCAGCATTAAAAGAATCTCTCAAACCTCATACAAATCCAGCCGGTTGTTCAGACACAGCTCCTGCACCCATCATCCCCACCGACGTGTGATCTAGTAAGTACTACCGATATTTAGACACTTTCCCCTTGCCCGAGCAGAGAAATACATAGCTGCAAATGCAGCAAGCTATTTTCCCTATAATCCAGACTTTGTACTTTGTCTTTGGAGATGCTGAGGATGGTGTTTCTCTTTCCATTCACTATTATGTGAGTCACAGCAGTAACGTGGCCTTTCATCAGCGTTATGGGGCTGTTGGTAACAAATGGATTCCATATTCTAACCAGTGGATCCAATCCCCCGGTCACTAACGTAAAGAAAATACATTTTAGTTACAAAAGACGACAATGATGCATCTAACTTCTCCAGCATCCCATGAAGGAAACACTGGAACAATACATCAGAAGATGCTTAGGCCCAAACCTAACCAGTCTCCTTGTTCTAATTCAAAGTAATTACCACACCTGACACACATGAAAACCTAGGACCATGATATGACTAACGAGGGGGTGAAGCACAGATTGGGAAAGTTCAGACCTGTATCCAAACTGTGTGTGTTCTTCCACAATCTCCACTGGATATTTATTTGAAAATAGTTTTTTTTCCCCTACATATGCTTAAATCTTAAATAAGGCCAAGCCTTTGTGTCATACTCAGTCTCCTATTTAGAGTCTGAAATACCACAGCATTCTAAAACTGGCTTAGAGAGTGACAGATTCCACCAGAGAAATAGTGTCACACGCTTTACTTGTACTTGTGTTGCAGACTAAACGGAGTTAGATGTGAGACACCTCACATCTCTCTGTGGATGACGAAGTAGGGAATTTTTTTTTTTTGGCTGATTGATAACTTCAATTAAAAATGTTCTCAGGCCACTAAGAGCAAGAGGCAGAAGAAAATTCTCATAGCCCATGCGCCACTTAACCCCTATTTAGAGGGTTTCAATGGGACTTAAATGGAATACCATACAGGCCGTGTGCTGGCTTTTACATAGGGGTACATTTCACACATACACAGTACAATCAACCTATGGAACTCTTGCCAGGAGATGTAGTGAAGGACACATCTATAACAGGGTTCAGAAAAGAACTAGGTAAGTTCCTGGAGGATAGGTCCATCAATGGCTATTAGCCAGGGATGAAACCCCATGATCTGAGAGTCCCTGCTCCACCATTATTATGAGGCCACTGCCCTTAAAGTAACCAGTTTCTGCTGGTCCCCTACATGGCTGCTTAAGACACGTCTCTCTGTATTTGAGCTCGGACTCTTTCTGGACACTTGTCTTTTTATCAAAGCTTTCAACACAGCAACTATAGACGAGTGCAGAGATCAGTGGGGTGAAAAATGGGCTCTGATGATGGCGACTTACCAAGCACGTTCATCTCAGGTGAATAATCGAAGCAGAGAATGCCCTTCTTTAAAGCAATCGTTGATGACCTAAAACAGAGAAAATAAAATGAACAGACTTGTGCAAGAACCACAGCTGGCCCTTTTAAAATGTATTGCAGATTTGATGGGCAAGGCTGTGGAAAATACATCTGCTTGTGTGAAGGACACTATGCTAATTAAACAGGGGAGCTCCAGAATAGGTGGGATCATCAGAAAAGGAGGAAATACAGACAAGTGTAGAGAAGCAGAAGGAACAGCAAGAGAGCTCTATAAAATTAGCCAAACTCTGTAACCTGCCCTCCAATGGGCTCTAACTGAAGCCCCCAATCCAAAACATCCCCAAACTTTGGAAAAGTTCCCCTCCAAAGGGTGCAGCTCAGACCCATCTCTAAGAAGAAATGGTTAAGGAAGAGAAGGGACCAGGGCTGGCCTTCAACACAAGCAAAGCAAGGGGCTGCTTGGATCTCCACATCCCATACAAGCGCCACAACTTGCTACCCCAACCGGCAGGAGCCCAGGGGAAAAATACTGCAGGTCCTTTCACCCTCTGCGAGAATAGGACAGGAAGGGGAGGCAGGCTCACTTCCCAACTGCTAGGACCTCTGGCATTGGACTTCTGCATATTGTTAGGGTGACCAAGCAGAAAAGAAGTTGCAAGGAGAGAGGAAGAGCAGGGTAAAGACTCAAGGCGGAGAAGTGCTACAATGGGGAGAGAAAAAGAGAGAGGAGGATCACAGAGAATGTGCCACTTGGGAAGCCACCTGCTGGCAAAGAGGAAATGCAACAGCATTCAGATAAAGAGAAGAAATGGAACAGCTATAAGGAAGGAGCTGAACACAACCATCCTCTAGTCTAACCCATTCTTATGGGTAGTACAATAGTAAGGAGCAGGCCAAGGCCCTGGCTGGGACTATCCAGTGATTTATTATCTGAGAGCCGGGGGTCATAACAGGAGAATAACGCCTGTCACGGCAGTGTGCTGCTCTATTATATTTGAGTCCTTAGAGCTCCGTCTCAGATGATATTCGGACCCCAGGTGTGACAATTCACCCCTCTGACAGCTGTCAATTCCGTGGCCTCTGCCAACCCATTTCAAGGTACACAACCCATTTCTAAAAGTGAAAGCAGCCCTAGTTAAAAATAATGAGTTTGTGGGGGGAGGAGGGGAGCACAAGGGTGAAAATCATAAAAATGGGATTGGTGCAGAGCAGAAGGCTCGGCTGCATGGGAGCTGTAACCACAGTAGCTAGCTCACAGGTGGAGATCATTAGAAATGAAGAAATCCGTCTTCACTAAAGAAAAACAACTTGCAAACAATTAGATGACTTCTAAATAGATTCTCCCTTTGACTGTGTCCTTTTTATCCCCTCATCATGAACACTCACATGAGCAAACATTTGCACATACAAATGGTCGCAGAGCACATTCTAAGCCTGCCACGTGACCCAAGGTCCGTTCCATCACTAACCAAGCTACTCTTCGAAAGGAAGCTGGAGCAGCGCTCCTAAGAGTTAGTCCTCCCTGCCAAGGAACCAAAACAATACCATGAAACGTAGTTAACCAGCAGCACAACTTCAATGCCAAGTTATGAATACTCAAGGGGTAACGGGTATTTGGCAAGTAACCCGCGAGCTGGAATGTATTCACCCAAAACTTCCATACAAATAGCATAATAAAAATGCTGCAATGATCCAGGCCAAAGCTGCCAAATAAACTATTCAGTGGGAATGGCTCTCACAGCTCTCATCTACATAAAAGAACAAGACCAATCATTCGCTCCTCGCAGGTAAAGGAAAGCCCAATGGCACCACCTGCTGGTAAATCGTCCACACCACAACCGGGGTCATGAAATTCTGAAATAGCTATTTTAGCATTAATCTGGATGTTCTTGTATTAAGCGAGAGAAAGACACACACACACACACACACACACACACACACACACACACACACACACACACACACACACACTACTAC